GCACTCTTTCTAGGGCCTCAGCATCTTTTCAAAATTATGGTGACCAGAACTGTATCCAGTATTCCAAATGTGGCCTCATAAATGCAATAATAGAACGGTACCATCATTTCCCGTGATCTTGATGCTATCCTTCTGGCTTTTTAGCAGCTGTAAAATATTGCTGAGTCATACGGTATTTACAGGAGAAATGATGGCTCAGCGGTTAGAGATGCTAAGTTTGTTAGCTGGAAAACTAACAGCCTGGGTTTGAGACCCAAATGCTGCATGATGGAATGAGCAGCTCCTTTCCCACTTAATTCGAAAACATGCAAATGAAAGTAGATAAACAGGTACCACTTCAGTGGGAAGTTAACAGCGTTCCATGCCCCTTGGCATATGGTCATGCTGGCCACATGACCACAGAAATGTCTTCAATGGCTCCTCAGCTAAGAAATGGAGATGAGAACCACCTCCTAGAGTCAGACATGACTGGACAAGGGAAACCTTTTACTTACTTATGATAAGCAATGGTCCACCAGGACAACTTGATCCCTCTCACAGGCACTACTGTTGGGCTTGGTACTGCCTATTTGGTATTTGTGCATTTGGTCTTTTCTGCCTAAATGAAGAAGGCCTTACTTTTCTCATCACTGAGCTGCATCTTGTTACATAGGACCCAAAGCTCAAGTCTCTCAAGATCCTTCTGAAACTTGGGTTTATCTTGTTTGTAATTCCCCACACTTGGTGTCATCCACAAATCTGATAAGCACCTCTTCAATCCCCTCATCTAAGTCATTTATGAAGATACTGAAGAGCACTGGCCCCCAAGACAGATGTACACTACTGCATGTTTTCCTCCATGTAGATGAATTGCAGGACTACATGCTAAATGCAGTTAGTCAGTCAACTTCAAATAAATCTAGTGGTGGTATTTTCTATCTTATATTATTCTAACTTACCAAGAAGTAGGCTGTGGTCTACTATGTCAAATGTCTTACCGAAGTCAGTCTAAGTAAACCATGTGCACAGCATTTTTCTGGTCCACTAATTTAGTACTTTTCACATAAAGCAATATGATTTGTTTAGCATAATCTCTTTTTAACAAGCCTATGCTACTCTTAGTAATCACCTTGTTCATTTCTAAGCACTCACAAATCCACTGCCTGATTCTCTTTTCCAAGATTTTCCCAGGTATTGATGTCAAGCTGATTGTCTATAGTTTCCTGGACCTTGGTTCCCCCCCACTTTTGAAGATTAGAACCACATTGGCTCTTTTCCAGTCCTCTGAAGTTCCCCCATGCTTCAGTAGTTCTGAAAAATTTCATTTAGTGATTCCAATATCACATCTGCCAGCATGCCTATACATGCTTCACTATGGAATCTTTAATATTTTCTGAGCTTGGTTGTTGCTTACAGATGTTACATTACCCAACTAGGTAATAATCACCTATATTACTGATGATGTTACCTAATTGGGTATTGAAATTCTTGCAAATAACCAAGCTCAGAGAGCACTAAGGACACCACAGTTCAGTCCTGAGCTACATATATTTCCTTTTATTGGATGCATGCTTTACCTTTGAAACTCTCCACAATTTCTACTTTAAAAATATTGAAGCAGAGACAAATTTCTGTCATTTGACCATTCCCACTAATAACTCATAGCTCTTCCAGAAATATCCAGTAATCCCAGTACATCAAGTGATCCCAGTTACGTCTTCTTTGCTTGCCTCAATCTTGTCAAGCACAATTTGTTATAATCCATTATCTGCTTGTATCACATGCCCAAATAATACGAATGCTTGCCCAGAGACTTATTTATTTAGTTATTCTCACACTTTGCATTATCTTAATTCAAGAAAGATCTCTGAAGGAAGAAAAACTGGTTCTACATATTTTACTTTAGTCAAATATTCCCATGAAATTCCTTCTTAATTCTGTATGAAAGCTGACATTAAGATCAACATGATTAATTGATTATTGGCCTTATCTTGACCATTTCTTCCCATCATCTGGGGATGAACTATTCCACCTTTCATGTAAGTTCTTATTTACTATTCATTTTGGCTACATCATCTATCATATATCTGACATAATCTTAAAAATGCTGAAATGTGCTATCAGAGCTTCGGGGTATAGAATACTTTAGGGACAAACTTCATTTTCCTCCCCAATTAGCAGATTAAAATCCATTGACTTTACAGTTAAAGGTACAGAATGCAAATGTATTCAGTAATGCTAGAGCAAGCAATCTTTCCTGTTGTCATAGCTGCAGACTAAAGACAGTTACTATCACCCTGGTTGAACCACGCAGTTCAAGTCACTGGGGGTACTTTAAACAAGCCTGCTGTAAACCAGCATGGGAAAACATATGGGAAGTTTTTCATTCTAAATTAGCCATACAGGTAGACCTTGGGTTACAATGGTAACTGGGACTAGGATTGCCATTACTAAGAAATGCAGTCATAAAATATGATATCATATGACCATGTCGCTTAGCAACAGCAACCCCAGCAGTCCTGGTTGCCTTTATAACCCCAAAATGTGCAGGTTTTTAAAAAGGAAGGTTATTAAAAAGGAATCCCAGTTAAGAAGCACCGGGGTGCCACAGGAGGCTAGTATGGTGCCGTGGGGAATGGGGTAGGCTAGAAGATGCACTGGCAGGGAGGATATAGGCCACAGATGAGTCAAGGGAGACTGGGGGGGGGGGCGAGGCTTATTATGGGTAGGGGATGCTGCAGGTACAATTCAGTTTACTGACATCATACTGTTGGATCACCAGGAAAAGTCTACAAATATTTAATAGGAGGATGAAACAGGTATCAAGGTTTGCACAAGAGAATTCTGTGCTACTTTTCAATATGTTATTCCTGTAGCTTTTTTTTTTAATTTGGTATTTTCCATTTCAGTTGGTTTTTTTTGTTCGTAATGTCCGATTCAATTGTCTTTACAAGTTATTAGGAGATGCTTTTCACTTTTTAAGTGTCGATTGAATGCAAATCTAATGTAATTCTCTGTTAGAAATGTATAAAATTTTAAAATGTGAATGTAATTCTGAATTTTACAGCAAAAATTCAAATTGTTATAAATTAGTTGAGCATAGGACACTGCAGAAAAAAATACTTTCTTACAATGGAAAAATGATGCCACCCCACCTTTGCAATCTTTGACTGATAATTTCATCCTCTGCTTATCAGCTAGCTTTGTATTGATGTAATGGAAAGACTGATCGATATTAGTATGTGGTCAAAGTTTAATGCTATTTTTAAAAATTGAGCTGCTTATATACTTTTTATACTTTATTCTTTTATCCTTTCTTTCCTAGTCTTTATACAAAAACATAAGATATACTGAGACTCATCTCAGAACACTAAACCATGATACAGCATTGCCTGGAAATATAATTAGTGGGATTTCATTTCCAAAGAAATGGAGCAAAAGGTCAGGATTTTTATTTAGTGAATCTAATACTAAGTTACATACAATGATCAATCCTTGATGTAATCCTTAAATCCATCGGAAAAACTCTAACCAAGATCTAAAAATCTGAATTCATCTAGTTGCCCCAAGAAATCAATCTCTACATACAAAGTCCAGAAAGCAAACATAAAATTTTAAAAATGTAGGGGATACACTATTTCTTTGGAAGCCTCACTCCATGAAAACTCAGTGGTTTGGACATTAAGATTTATTTGAACAAATTTCAAAAGGCGGTGGGTGAAATTTTTAAAAAATTGAATTCTGACTGGTTATTCAATATGCCCAACACAAGTCACATGTCACATGCCCACATACCAACTACTGCCTATTGTTGTTAGCTCAAAGGCCTCCAACAAGATGAATTGAGAATACAGAGAAGTATATAAAATACGGAGAATGCTTTGGAAATTAGTTCAGTCTCTAAAAATAGAAACCCTAAAAATATTTAAATACATTCATTATTGAACCACCTAATAATTACAGTGTCAACCTTAAAACTCAGAAGATAAATTCATATTACACAAAAATGCCAACTATTTTTAACACTAATATTTAGAGCTACTCATTCTACTAAATATTGAATTCCAAAGCCAATAATGTTTTTACCCACCATGACAGCTGATGGCTTTAAAACATTACCCTCAGTATTAGGATCATCCATTTTACCAGCCATCATAGTAGCCAAAAATATAGGTAGAAAGATAAAGTTTCTTTCTAGAAAGAAAAGAAAACCCGTGTTTCTTTAGACCACAAACTATTTATTAATCTAGTAACTGAAAGGTTGAACACAAAAATGTCTTCACATAAAGATGTAGTTAAAAGCATTTGGCAGTGATGTGAATAAGCATCACTGGGTGGAACAATACTGTTTCACAGTCAACCAAGGGAAAAATTACTTTTGATTAAAATCCAGAATGCCATCACCTGAGCACCAGCTACTCTGTAGCCATCTCCACCAAGTGGAGCTACTTTCCATGGCATCTTCTGTTCCAAAGTACATCTATGCAAGGTAATAAATTAAAATTGGCAAGATCTCAGGATAAGGTAACTTGTTTTTGCAGATGATATCTTAATAATACAACATCAGAGTGTAGGTTGTCTAAACGTTTATGATAAAAACAAGACCATATTAGAAAGAGGAAGAAGTCTTAAATGAAAGATCAATATTATTTCACAAATATACATCCACTGTGATTTCAATTAAATGTGCTAGTAAAAACACAAGTTAGATTAAATCCTGTACTTGTGTTAATAAAACAGAACTATGCATTACCAGAAGTAGGTGGCTAGGGGATAGATTTTCATATAAGCATGCATAAAACAGGTGAAGCAAGATCCATTCTTTTACCATAAAAAATGCAGGGCTTTTTTTAATAGGCAAAAAAGTAGGAAGAAAACTTTTACCTGCAAGGCAAAGATGTACAAGCTTTGAATAAAATCAAACTTGATGGTTGATGGGTCAACCTTAGCAAGAAAGATGTCTGAAGCCAACTCACTCTTTCTACAGAAACAAAATGCATGAATTAGAAACCAGGACCTACCATTGAGACCATTTGGGATGCTCCGGTGGTGAAGAGGAGCAGAAAGGTCATCCATAGATCTCCTGATGGCTCCAGCTTTGTTTTCAACAACTTTGTGATGGTGAAGGAGATGATGGTGGTGATCTGGACTTCCTGCACTGCCAGCGCTGGATGTACTACTCCCATCTCCAACATCCCTGGTTCCAGAACCCCCATTGAGGTTGGTGAGACTAGCTTGGCTATCTATGGAGCTTCGGGAGCCTGCTCCATTCCTTTCTTCATCCAGCATTAGCACAATTTCCTTCAGCTCAACATTTTCTCTCAGAAGGGATTCTTGCTTGGCTTCCAATTCTTTCAGCTTCTGCTGGTACATTCCAACTTCCTTCCACATTACACCTGCAGTGTGTCTCCCAAACCTCTGCCATTCTCTCGACAGCTTTTTCCCCTTTTGCCTGTCATCATCCAAGAAACAGCAGAGCTCCCTCAGTTCCTGGTTATCATCCTGAAGCTTCTGATTAACTTCTTTCAAACCCCTGATCTCATGCAGGTGAACTTGGAGTCTTCTGTTCACATCTTTCATCAAGTTGCTGTGCTCCACCATCAAGTTCATTTTTTCATTCTCCACTTTCTTCAACCTTTTCACCAATTCTTCCTTGTTCCATCTCAACAGATCATCTTCTGTCATTTTGCTCAGGTCTTCCTTTGACCCTTCCACAGAATTTTTTGACATATTTATATTCTATTTCTACTCCTTTGGAAGGAGATGAGACAAAAACTGTTCTTTTCAAGGAATATATTTTAAATATTCTGCAAGTTTAATATTCACAGCAACATTGTGGAATGTAATTTTGTATTTTAAAAATCCTACAATTCTTCAGGGAGCACAAGAACACAAAAAACTGTAAATCCACTCATTTCTGTAAAATGTTCTCTCTGCCTTGCAACTCCCATACCTAAATAAAATAAAAATGAAAAAGAATGAAAGCTTCATATATATATAGAGAGAGAGAGAGAGAGAGAGAAAGACAGACAGACAGAGAGAGAGAGAGATTTAAAAGCCTTTCAAAAGTGAAGCAAGTCAACTTACCCAAGGCTAACACAGCCCCAGCAATAAGAATAAAATGTGTTAGCTTAAAAATCAACCTGCTTGGGTTCAGTATCCACGCCGCGTAGATTTCCAACAGATAAAAGCTATATGAGGTTGTGAAACGGTCAGGTTCCAAGCTGAAATGACCCAGCCCCTCCGTCCGCAGCAATTAGAGTTGGAAAGAATAAAATAAAATGCAAATTTTTAAAACCGATCCCTTCCTCCGCTTTTTTTTTTTTATGCTTTTAGTTCTAAGACAGCCCTCCGGATGATGTCAGTCTCTTTGTAAAACTGCATTTAAATTTTCAGAACAACCATCGGAAAGGAACTGAGAGAGCATAGATTCTGGAACAAGGCATCGCCTATTTCAAGCCAGAGGGAGGAAAGAAGGAAGACGGGAAAGGACATTCCAGGATGAGAATGTGCAGTACACCTTGGAGAAGCAACGCGAAAAAATAAAAGCAAGGACCTAAAATAAAAGAGAAATCCAATAAGCACAGCTGCTTATCTCCGCGTACCGCTCCACTCGATCCTCCGGCACTGCTCAGTTTTATGGGAGGGAGGGAATTAGCGGGTTTGGCTCCTCCTCCTGACTCCTGATTGGCCAATCAGATGGTCCGGGCTCGGTTCTTCTCCATGCCCCAGCGTGGCGCGTTCAGGTTGCATTTCATTTTCCGCCTTGGGTCGGGTTACGGGGAGAAGCGATAATTTCTCCCGCAGCCAATGAGCGGGCGGCATGGGCGCATTTCAAAAAAGCAGGTACAAAGGCAAAGGTAGAGCGCCGTGCCTCTCTTAAAGGGGCCGCGGTCTGTTTTCTACCTCTGCCTGGAGAGGGCTCCGAGGAACCATCCTGCATCCCTTCCCTTGCCCGCGACTTTCCCTAAAAGTCTGCTCTAATCCGCTTCTTATTTAGGAAGGGAAGTTGGACGAGAGGATGCAGAGTTTGGGGGCGGAAATAAGCGAGTTGCCCTGTGGAGCCAAAAGGGCCGTCGGGTCTACTTCAGTTCTTGCTGGGGGGTTTTCTTTGATGTTGAGGCCTCCTCCCCCCACATCCAGCCCCGTTTAAATGGCATTTTCTCCTCGTCCCCTCCGTCTTTCTGCCCGGGCGATCCACGGGCACCATTTTGAGGACGACGAACGCGTGGAGAAAAATAGTTCGAGGGCTCGCCATCCTGTCTTTCACTCGGTCTTCATCACGAGTGGGAAAACTGTTTGGGAAGGCCGCGGGTGGGGTTGCCGAGAAAGCCCCACGGAGCGCTCCCCTGGGCGAAAAAAACAAAAAAACCTTTGCGAACTGACAGGAGGCGCTTTGCAGAAGGGCTTCAAAGCCCCGGGGCCGTCTTCGGTGGCGGTAAGCGATCTGGGTTGAATAATTCCTGCCGACCCCGAGAGGGCGACGAGGAGAAACCGGGAGCCTGCCTGGTAGCTGTACGCTTAGGCCGAAGCGACTCGGGGCTTGTGGGGAAAATCCCGCCTGAATTCAGGAGGTTATTTTGGGCGAAGTCGTGTGAAAGGCGAGGCTGATGTGAGGTAGAAAGAAGGGGGCTTTCCCCCTCTTTTTTTTTGCTTTGGACAGCAAACTAAAAAAAGGGGGGGGGGGGGGGAGAGAACCTAACCATTGAGGTCCCTTTATGCTTATGTTGTGCAGAGCCCAGCGAGAAGGCCTGTTCAGTAAACCATGGTTTACAGTGAAGCCCCTTGTGTCAGCAACAGCTTTGTAAACTCGGACCACCACCACACCATTTTCAGTCGCCTCCTATTATCAGAGACCGCCTGGACAAACCCCTGCAATTTATTAGTAAGTTTTTCAGAAGTGGTTTGCCATTGTCTCCTTTCTAGGGCTAAGAGAAGGTGACCGGCCCAAGGTCACCCTGCTGCCTTTGTGCCTAAAGCAGGACTGGAGCTCATGGTCTACAGCAGGGCTCTCCAACCTTGGGCACTTTAAGCCTGGAGGACTTCAACTCCCAGAATTCCCCAGCCAGCTTTGTTGGCTGGGGAATTCTGGGAGTTGAAGTCCTCCAGGCTTAAAGTGCCCAAGGTTGGAGACCCCTGGTCTACAGGTTTGTAGCCTGATGCCCTGATACCTAAGTGCAGTGGTGGGATTCAATTTTTTTTACTACCGGTTCTGTGGGCGTGGCTTGGTGGGCGTGGCAGGGGAAAGGATACTGTAAAATCTCCAGTCAGAGGTGGTATTTGATGGTTCTCCAAACTACTCAACATTTCCGCTACCGGTTCTCCAGAACTGGTCAGAACCTGATGAATACCACCCCTGCCTAAGTGGCTGACACTATAAACTTAATACTCTTTAAAATAGTGGGAGGCTGGCAACATTACTGAGCTACTGGAAGCCTTGGGGATTTGGAGAGATAGTCATTGGTACTGACACAAAGTAGATCACAATTGCCTATTTCCCAAAGGGCTTTCCAGAAGGCAAACTGGCCCTTGTTCCCTGCCTACCCACTCATGATAGCTCTGTATTTACTCTGCATTAAAATAGCCCATTTTCAGATATAGGGCAGTCTTCCAAACAATGCATTTCTAAGAATGCCTTTGGGGCCTATTTGGATCAGCAGTTTTGCACAATAAAGATATTGCTGGGGGTGCTGTGCTTTGCTTTGCAGCATGGCAGGTTCTTGTTCCTTTATTTTAATTAAAATATTTTTTAAAGTATGCTAAGATGATAGTAGAAAGCCTGACATACATCAGAAGTGTTCACAAGTATGTTTGCTGTTGTGGTGTCAAATTGCCAATCCTGTTCTAATCAAGCTCCTCCAACTGATGCTGTCCAAATATTGTCCTGTTTGCATACCACTAAGCAACAGTATTTTAGCCTAGCATGTGATCTAAGCCTGTAGTTATTGATTCAGTGTGCCACATAAATCCAGAAAATTGCTCCATTATATGAATGGATAACTGTTTTGGACTTCAGTTCCCATTATACGGTATGTCCTTGTTGACTGTTCCAGTTAAGGCTGATGGGTATTGTAGTTCAGAAATATTTAGGCTATCTGAATGGTTTGATCTTGTATATTTACACAACACAATCCGAAGTTTTGTAATCACAAAATTGGTGATTTCATAACTCTGAAGCCAGTGTGTGTTAAGATTAATATTATTAAAATTAAGGAATGATTCAAGAAGTTTCTTAATTCAACTTTTACCCAATGCTTTTATTCAAGTGGAAAATTAAATTCTTTACAAGTAGTTCTCAATGTATAAATATTCATTTAATAACCATTCAAAATTATAATGGCACTGAAAAAAGTGACATGTTTTTCACACTTATGACCATTGCAGCATCCCCATGTTCACATGATCACAATTGACAAATGTCATGTATTTATGATGGATCCAGTATCTTGGGCTCATGTGATCACCTTTTTGTCACTTTCTGAAAAAGTCAGTGGGAAAGCCAAATTCACTTAACAACTGCAGTGTTTCACTCAACAACTGTGCCAAGAAAGGTTGAAAAATGGGGCAAAATTCATTTAACTGTCTTGCTTAGCAATGGAAATTTTGGGCTCAGTTGTGGTTGTAAGTGCAGGAGTACCTATATAGTTTATTTTTGAGTAAATATGTATAAAATTACATATAGGAAAAGAAGAGGCAGAGCAGGGGATAGAGTCAAGAGAGAAGTCAGCCTGGAGTCATTATGTTCCTGCAAACAGTCCAAGTCCAGCTTTAGATGACAGGCTGAGCCTATGTGAGCATTAAAAGCATCATAAATCATGAGTCTGCACATTGGAAGAGATCTAACTCCAGTCCACCTTGAATGCCTTCTTATTCCTGCTCATTTCCCTTTACCATTAGGTCAGATTCTTAGAGAGAGCTTAAGTTTGCAAAAAATCTTTATACTCATTTGAACTGTTCGAATCTCTGATTTCCCCAGCACTTGATATCAGCCTCCTCTTGAATTCTTTTAATACTTATCTAGCACTAAACTAGTGTATAAAATGTGCATAAACATAAGCAATAAAATCAGCTTAACTGGAACCTAGTATAGTTCTGATTCTTGTGCCTGACATTACACTACAGTTAGCTTTTAGAATTTGTGTAAAATCTTGGATTTTATTTATTTGGAAAGTTATACAGTTCTCTTTTGAATCAGGTTTTTTTTTAATCAGAGCACTCAAAACTATAATTTTCAATTTAAATTTAGAAAATTAAAAACAGGATCTGGTATGAGTGGTGCAGGTAGTAAAGCAGTAAGAAATAATGATTTAAACAATTTAAAAGTTCAATGATGGTATTGTGATATTAGCATATTAAAAGGTTTGGAAGATTTTAATTATTACTGAGCTGTCTATGTGTGATGGTAATACCTTATATAGAGGGTTTTTCAGTCTTTAGTCTTTTTTTAAGTAAAAAAGTGGTTATACAGTATATAGACAAACATTATTTTCCATATCATATATACTGGTTTCCTTTGTTTCACTAGTTTTTTTAAAAAATCCTACAAGGTTTACAGATTTTTTAAGTGATACAAAATTCTAAAAATACCATGAAAAGAAACAGTGGGATAAAGTGCAAATGCTCCAAGCAATGTGCCTGAACTATTCCATCTTCAGCTTTCTGGAAAAATCTGTTTTCTTCCTTTGAAAATACCAATCAAAAATAATCTGGACACATCTCTAAAGAATAGAAGACATGTATGTCATTTGAAAACAACAGAATTCTTGTAAGTGGGGTGCATGGTTATGATAAATGTGTGCATCCTGTTTCTACAGCTAACTAACAAAGCCAATTCCTGCCCTGTCTCAAAGGAAATTGCCTTTTTCTGTGCTAATTTGTGACAGGGAAATAAGGCTGTTAATAAACAATAGATCAAGCATTCACATTTAGACAGGGGATTTGCATCAAGCTGTGAATGTAAGATTTTTAATGTGCATACCACACTAAGCTTTTTATACCTACCTAATACAGCATCAATGCAGTATAAAATTCACTATATTTAAGAAGACATTTTTCTCTGCTAATGGGAAACAATTGTACTAATACTTAATATGACAAGATTTATGGAAAGCTTGCAAGGCTGGATTTTCTCTGCAGCTGATTATTATTTTCAGGACTGTAAATTAAACCAGACTTACTCTTTTTATGTATGGTATTCCATAAAAAAGCATTTTTCAGCATTGTATGAATACAATTTCCCTACACAGATTTTAAGATAATTTCTAACATCTTCCTTGCTAATCTACCATAATATTTATAAAGCTGGTAGGCCTTAGTAAAAATACCTTTTCTGAGGTGTACTCATAGTTAATTTTTGTTATTAATTATTGTAAATAATTAATTACAGAATCAAATAATTAAAGAAACAAACCCAGACAAACTAAAAATACAAACTAAGAAAAAAGAATATGTTTTTATACTTAATAAATACAGGTTTATTAATAAATACACTATAAATACACCAGCTCAGTTCTGGAATAACTCCAACACAAATGCACAAAGCTGGAGCAGTCCACAAGGAAAGACAACACCAAGGTCCACTGTCCGGGGTCTGGAGAACAGGGTTCAAGGCAAAAGCAGGTCCAAGAG